CCCTAAACCCTAAACCCTACAGGGGATAACGCGTTGTAAGTTCTTGGTTTGGTTCCGGAGTCTCAGGACCAAACTCCACGGCTGAGCCATGTTGAACCTTAAAACCTAAACCCCAAGCCGTGAATATACTGGGTTCAGGCTTTAGGGGTTTAGGGTTTAGAGTTTAGGGGTTAGGGGTTTAGGGTTTTTGGGGTTTAGGGTTTAGGGTTCAGGGTTTAGGGGTTCAGGTTTCAGGGTTTAGGGTCTAGGGTTCATCAACTCGAAGCCGTAAAGCTTAGGCTTCATAGGGTTCGGGGTTTAGAGCCTTTGGCCCCATGCAGATCCCAAGTCTGAAAGCACTGGATGCAACATAGGGGCATTGGGGTCTTCACAGTTTCCACATCTATTCCTCAGCGGTTGCAATTATGTGTGTAGCTGTGTAGCATGAGATACCCCCCAAATCTTATCACTATCATATTATGTGTTTACGACCCCACGTTCATCGGAGGTCTTGCTTGGGATAGAGAAAGCTGTGCTCCTGGAATGCAGGTATTGAAGCAGGTGATGTCCTGGAACGTGGCTTGCATGCTTACGCCGACACTAAGCCCCACACCTTCAAAGCCTCAGGGCCCGAACATGCCATATGCCTGTCTTAAGGGAGTGTGTGAGTCGAAACCCTCACCCCTAAACCCTAAACCCTAAGCCCTAAACCCCTGAAGCCTTCTTATAGACCAGTCCTTGGGTCCTGAATCCCAAGCCCGCATGTTTTCCTGCTCTTGTGGGATTGATGCTTTAGGGTGTGCAGATTCGGGTTGGCTTCGGGACTGGCTCATCATTCATGATTGCCAATATAGCTACAGACTGTTTGTTAGTAGCAGCAGAAGTCGTCGTGTTATTAGCATCCTTGTGCTTATGTTATATATTTCGTTTATTAGTATTCTGCTTGTTCTTCGGATTTTTCCGCACCATCTTTCGTCGTCGTTCTTCTTGCTCTAGTTTTTGCTATTCGTATTCTGACCATTGTATGTTCAACCTTGAACCGGCGACCGGGTGAATCCCTAAACACCCGTAGACCCCATACAAGCCCACGGCCCTAGCAAGACCAAGAGAGACCAGGAACCCGGTACCCCGAAGTCAGGAAAGATACCTTAAGCCACACAGAGAGATATATAGGGCCTCATACTTATGAGATCAGGCAGATAATGTTGACCCCTAACCCTGAGTCCTTCAAAATACCCGAATTTCAGGTGTTCGGCTCTGCAGGGTTTCTGGCGGAGTGGGGACTTAGAAGACCCCTGAGCTGCAAGCAATCTTTCACTGGGCCCGTCACTATACAAACCAACCTATATTCTACTCTATTCTACTATACTATGCTATACCATGCTCTGGTATTCAAGGCTCCTTGGCCGCATGTACACAGGCCCTGATCATACTAAGCTATACTTTGCTATAATATGCTATGCTATGCCGGGCTAGACTAGGCTCTTCTTGACAGCCTGAGGCTATGGCGCTGGTCTGGGTGATCATCTCTGGCTTCATCGCCGCGGGATACAACTGCATGTCCTACAGCATCGTGCAGAGGCTGGAGCGGGGTCCTCTTCGTCACTTCTTGGGGAAGGGTGGGCGTCACTCCGCCCCTAAACCCGCCGAACTAGGTCTTGGTTGGATACCTTGGGTCTAGGCGAGTTGGCTCGTGAAGGCAGCTGTCAAATGGATAGTCGCCTACGCTTGTGCACTTGTTCTTGTCGTTTTGCTTTATCCTCCTTGACAGCAGGCATCGAAGTGAGACCTACTTTGGTGCATAGTTAATGACCTTGAAGACAGTATCGTGGTGGACCTTGCCAGGCTTGTCCGAGTGTGCGTGTCAAAAACCCTAAACCTTTGTTTCGATGAGAAAAGGTCCGGTAGAAAAACATTTGTTTCGGGAGAAAGGGGCGAAAGCTTGAGGATGAAAGGGTGCTGTTGGGCATCTTGGCATCTTGTGAGCTGGAGGATGTGTCTTCAAGGCCGCAAACCCGGAGCCCTAACCCTCAATGCTCAACGCCTGAACTCCAACTTCCCACCAAGCATCACCCCTAAACCCTAAACCCTAGACCCTAAACCTTAAACCTTAAACCCTAAACTCTAAACCCTGAACCCCTAAACCCTAAACCCTAAACTGGTGAAGCCTCGAGGTTTCTGGGTTGCAGGTCTCGTCACGCATGTGTGAGTACCTACCGGTGCAACGGGGCAAGGCTTCATTCCGTGTTATAAGGTTTTAGCGTCGGGCCTTACCTGTAACTCGAAAGACTTAGAAGTGTTAAGGACCTTTTTGACAAAGCAGGCCTCTTTGGGTTGCAGATAGGTAGACACTATATAAACCAAGCAAGAAATCCTGATCCACACCAGGGCAGACTGAAGGAACCCCAAAAGCCCAGAAATGAGAGTTTGAGAACATCAGGGACCCTAGTATAACACCCAAAGTGGCCGGATCCGCTATTGCTGAAACCGCAAAAGACATCCCTTGAACAGGTTGTCAGCCACTACGGCGGGCTTCGCCGGAAACTTTAACAAGGCCAGCTGCGGTTAATGGTCAAAGTTTAACCGTTTTAAAAAACACGACGAGCACAGTGTTGTTTGCAGTCCAGAATCGAGCTTAACGTCCTAGACTCTTGCGTTTGAGGCTGTAGGGGTTTGGGCTTTCGGCGGGTTTGGGAAAGTAGAAGCATGTTCAACTCTCGGGTTCGTGATATCTCTGATGTTAAGTTCGCATGGGATCTGGATTGTGCCGTGAGGTTGTGATGGCTACGCTGCCCCTGCACTCTGCTCCTGCTGATACCGCTGCTACTGCTGCTGCTGCTGCTGCTACTGCTGCTGCTACTGGTTGTACTGATGCCAAGAAGATAATACTTGTGACTGCTACTGCTGTTACTGCTACTACTGCTGCTGCTGCTGCTGCTGCTGCTGCTGCTGCTGCTGCTGCTGCTATTACTACGACGACGACCACGCCTACGACTACGACGACTACGACGACTACGACGACTACGACGACTACGACGACTACGACGACTACGACGACTACGACGGTGACGAGGACGACGACGAAGACGACGACGACGATTACTACTATTACTGTTACTTCTAAAGCTACTACCACTTCGATGACGGCGACTACTTATGCTTGTACTCGCAGGTGTCGTTTCTGCATGTAGGACGCGTCTGTTGCAGCTGTAGCTGCTTGCTTACTACAGTTACTACTACTGCTACGACCACAACGACGACAGCGACGCAAGCTACTATTGGCAGCACCACCACACACCATCGGCGGCGCTGGTGGTGGTGGAGGTGGTGGTGGTGTAGTTTTGCTGCTGCCAGGCTGCAAACCCGAAACCCGTGCGAGGCTTGAGCCCGATAGCGGCAGCAATAAACAAAAAATCCCGGACGGTAAGATTCAGAACCCTCGACCGCCCAGCGCCCACTCCAAAATATCCTGCAAGGCGGCCCTGATCCTGATCTCCATCTGCTTGGGGCTGGAGAGGCGCACCTGCGTGAAGTCTCGAAGTCTCGTGGTCCGGGCCGTGGCATTCGGGGTCGGACCGGCTTAAGCAATCAGTGTGTGTGTGTGTGTGTGTTTGTGATGTTGGGGTTGTAGGCTTCTGAGACAGGCGAGGATGTTTGAAAGGAATCTCAAGTTACGAACACTCCAGATGTAGGGCTTGCGGGTTTAGTGGTGGCTTCGGGGTCTCGCTGGTTGAGGGGTACGGCCGAAAATAGGCCTGGATGCAAAATGTGGGGTGTGGAGAAGTAATTAGGGCCGACCCATGCGTGCGCCACGAGCTTTGAATCCAGGCTCCCACCTGGCATCTGGGCCTTCGTGATGGTCGCCGCGGTGCTGGGTGACTTGAAGAAACGGACAGGCGTTCGTCCCAATCTCGGTAGAGTTTAGCTGCTTAGTGGAAGAAGGCCCAAAACAGTATCCGACCACTCTAGGAGGAAACTCTTCATAAGTGAGAGCTTGTGAAGCGTTGGCATTTTTTGCATCAGCTCCAGCTGCGTGTCAAAGCTTCCTCTTTGCATTGCTGCATTCGCAAGCCTTGACACTTGCCCCTGGCTCCATGCAGTCGCTACTGCGGGCTTTTGCTGCAACGATAGCCCTAAACCCCGAACCTTGGGATGTTTGGGAGTGCGTTGAGAACCCCATGGCCCTCGTTGCCAAGCTCAGGCAACATTCTCTCCTTCACCGGCTTCCTGGCTTCTGCTTATGGGGCTTTGTGCTCAAGCAGCTTGCTCCTAGATTCTCTTCGTACTTAGGCGCCCTTGACTTGTTAAACTTGGGCTTCTGTTCTGCGGCATTGTGACTCGTGACTTCTGCTGCTGCTACTACTACTGCTACTACTACTTCTACTACTACTACTGCTACTACTACTAGTACTACTACTACTCCTTCCTCCTCCTTCAGCTGTTGTTGCTGCTCCTTCTAGCACTAGATTGACGCTGATTTCAAACCCGAAGCCCTAAACCTACACCCTGCAGTGCGGGCTCGTCCTAGCTCGGTGGGAGGCAAATGGGGGCTGTCCTAAAACCGCTCTCTGTAAGT